TCTCGATAAGCTCATGGGCTTCAATGTATCGACAGCACAGCTGCCCTAATACAGAAACCTGCTTAATTTGAAAAATATTTTTGAAATTAATTAATAATTTTAAAATTATCAAAGAACTCAGATTTATTTAAGATATTTAATTTATTTGTGTAGATTGATTCGGGAAAATTGTTAACTTCTTTCAAATTTAATATAAATTTTATAATTTTCTTTTATCCAATGTTACCAACTTTTGCCTCTTATAGAAAATAACAACAAATTTACAATTCTCTCCTTATTCAAAACATTCAAATTTTTCCTCTATCAAATATAATCAACGTCCAATTTTGTCTTTCATCCAATTTAACTAATTTCCAATTTTGTATCTTATCCAATATTTAACCAATTTACAATTTTTCCTTTTCCCCACATAACACATAATATTGCAGCAATATTGTTGCAACATTTTTTTGCAACATTTGAAATATTCCCATGTAACATTGCAATAATATTTCAGGAATATTGTTATGTCCGACTCATGGAATATTACAAAATAACATTCCAGCAATATTTCAATAAAACTTTACAAAACAAATTACTTAAATGTCTCAGGAATGTTACAGTGAAATGTTGTTGAAATATTATTTTTATACATTGTTGAAATATTACAGAATTTTTACAAAGAAGATTGTATTTTGAAATCCCTTTTCCAAGAAACTATGATTTTTATTTTTACTGAAGCATTTAATAATAGTTATAAAATGGAACAATATGTTTGTAAAGAAAACAAATCTATTTCATTATAAAAGATATAATTTAAGAAAGAAGAATTTTTAAACTGTGAACATATTTATTTATTATTGACAACTCTCAATTACATTCAGGTAAGTAATCAATTTAATAATTTTATAACAATATCACTACAATATTTATAACAATATTTTTAATAAATACAAAAATTATATAAAATACCTATAAGTATTTTATCAAGAAAAATTTAAGAATAAAATACAAAAATTTTTAAAGCAAAAATACTTGGAAAAAATAGAGTTTCAATATTTGAAAGTAAATTTTCCACTCTAAATTAGTACCATTTTAAAATTAGTAATTTAGTACCATTTTACAATTAGAAAATTAGTTGAATTTTATTAAAAATCAACTAAAATAAATTTAATAGCTCCCTGTTAATTATATAATTATTGGAAATCTACTAATTCACAATTAGAAATTTTAACTATAATTTTATGTCGCTAATTATTATCGATTCTGTAAGATTCAGCTGTTCGACTTGCTGGTCATGGCTTCATTCCTAACGTATTATATAAAATAAACAATTTTCTTTAAAAAGCATTTAGCGTGAATGAAATCTCTTTTGGAATTCCTTCCACTCATGAATCCTTATGTTTGTATCTGAAATAAAATATTAAATTTTTTTGAACTTTAAATCTATTTGAACTGTAAAATCTAAATTGTAGACTAATTAACTATGAAAAATGTGTTGTAATCATCGGGAATTTTTCCAAAGCTGATTTCCGGAAAATTACTAAAAAAAGGTGATTTTCGGGAATTCAGGGATTCCTTGGAAAATTTTAAGGAATTAACTCTTTAGAAATTTCACAGAGTTTCACGAAAATATATTCAGGGCGGAAAATAATTATTTATTATTACAATCATCAGAATAATATTTTTAATTATTATGTGAAATTATAATTATTTATTAATTATTATTATTAAATTATTTAAAATTATTTACAATAATAATAAATATAAAAATATAAGTATTTAAATTACTTGTGACTTTCAAGAAGTTGTGTGCAATACTGGAAACACAACTGCTACTTGTCTTGTTTCAGGAATCATCCACATTTTTTATTTTAATTCGAATAGAGGCCATGAATAAAAATATTTATCGTTATTGTTTAAAATTCTTTGAATATTGTAATCAGTTGAATTACAAGGAGTTGTGAATAGAGGTCCCTTAGAAATGTGTTTTTTTCCTATCAAATAAATAGTACCTTCTTCTGATTCAATGATATTATATATTGTTGCTACAGAGTCATCTTTAAACAAAACGCAATTATTTTTTGTGCTACTACAATCAATTGAAAATGATTTATTTTTAAGTGTCTTATATTGTTTCTTAATCTTCAAACCATTATTAATCAAAGGACCTTCAAAATGGGAATGTTTTAGCACTATATCTGGTTGATTAATATTCATTTCTTCGACAGCTTGTTCTTCGGCATATCTTCTTGCTAATTGTTGCAAAGGTTTATTCGTTTTCCTTAATTTCTTTTTTACCGTGGTCATATAATTTTCGAATTTGAATGCGCTAAATTCATCAACAGGCCCATATTTTTTAACATCCTCACAAAGATGAAGTAAATTATGTAAGTTGTATGACATGTATTCTTTTCCGTAAATAATCTCAAAAGTTGTAATAAAATATTCAATGAGTTCTTGAGCATAATCGATTTCTCCTGGAATTTTAATCAAAATTGGGCTTGAAATAATAGTTAATGACACATGAAGAGCTAAAAAATTAGTATAGAGTTCTTCGTTCAAGACATTTTTCAGAACAATTGGACCACTGTATAATAAGATGTTTCTAAATTCCGTTGCTTTCCAATATTTTACGTCCCTTAATGATCTGGGCCTTTTTGCAAACTCGCTTGGTTGACTTTTCTTTAATTCTATTAAATTAATTGAAATTTTATCAATATCTGATGAAGAAAGTCTGACTTTAGTTGGACCCGTTAACCATAAGAGAATTAATTTTTTCATTATTCCTAATAGGACCAAGTGCATATAATCAATTGGGACATTAGAGACAGCTCCAAATCTAGGAATCTGAGTTAAAACCGTTGCTTCTCCCTGTTGATAAGTACCTAGGTATACATTACTGGCAAATTCTAGGTCTGTCCTTTTAGAAAATGGCCCTAAACCAGGAAAGCATACTCGTCTCTTTTTTTTCTTGTTTTTTCCAATCTGTTCAGGTAGAATACCTTCTCCTTTAATCTTGCATTTGGGACAACAATGGTATCCAGTGTGACCTTTTACTTTTATCACCAAGCTTTTGGCAGGAGCATCACAAATCAGTCCATAAATATTTACAGTAATTCTTCGCTCTTCGAAGATGATGCCGGACTCACAGAATATTTTTGCTTCTTTAACAAATTCTGACAAAAACTCATTCGAATTAGCAGGATGATGTTCACCAAAGTAAGCGCCAATTAAGTACACACTTTTTGAATTTACTTCAGAACAAAAAATTAACCATAAAGACTTCTTTGAGCTTTTGTATATTGGCAAACCATCGATGTTAATATACAAATTTAAATTATTCTTGTTAATTCCCTTGGATTTTTGAGTTTTTAAAATAGCTTGCAGCGCCTGCAATAAACCAAGGTGTAAATATTCTCCATCGTCAGACAAAATTGTTGTTTTCGTATTTATGGGTGTCTTTAGTAGGGTTCGAGCTGTGCGTGGAAGTACATAATCTGTAAATGTTAATAAAAGCAAGAGAAGTGCAGTTAGTGCAATTAATGGGATATTATATAATAATGCCCATTGACATAAAGCAGATTTAAATTTGTTATTTTTATTATGCTTTTCATCTTTCTCCTCTTCTTCTTCATCTTCAGAGCAACTGGATTCAAAAAATTCATTTCCACAATCGCTATCACCGTCTGAAATATTATGTTCATTTTCAAATTCGAAATCAAAATCCAACAACTTTTCCAACTCATTTTCCTCTTCATTTCCTTCTTCTTCATCTACCCCTACTATTTCTTCTATTGGTAATTTCTCTTCTACTCCTACTCTTTCTTCTTCTTCTTTCCTTTGAGTAATAACTGTATTATTAATTTCACTTTCTTCATCTAATTGAATATATTCATTACAGTGAATATATTCATTTTCATTCTCATTTGTAGGAATATAATCATAGTCATTTTCGTCGCTAAAAGCAACATTTTTATTTGTGTTTAAGTCTTCGGTATTTTTTTCGATTGAATCTGCGTTACATTTCTGAGAGTTTAAGCGTTTTATATCCAATTTTGTTAGGTTGTCTCGTAATCGACGAATATGTCTGTTAGAATAACTATTGTGAGAGCTTACTTTTGGCATGATAGACTAAGCTACAAAAACAAATTCATAACCTGAAAGAAACGTATATAATTATAAAAAATACATTTTTGAGAAAACAATTGTGAGAAAATCGATAATCTATTAAGTTAACTTCTATTTAAAAAGAAACACTAAAAAGCTTTCTTAAACTAGCAAAAATTACAAATATTAGTAACTTTTTAATATACTCAATCAAATTTTGTAAAATATTTCATCTTATTTTTCACATGTAAAAATTAAAAATAATGCAATTGATAGTGATAGTGATAGTGGAAGTCTCCACGTACAGCAAGACAGTGGTTGCGCGAGGGGATAACGAAAACTATGCGCATTCCCTTATATCATCCAACCTCTCAATGTTTTAAATTAATTAATTTTAAATTTTTTCATTCTGTGTTTTTATTTTTAATTATTTTAAACAATAATATTATATAAATAAATAAGATAAATTATTATTATAAAAGTTATTTCAACACAAATGAAGCTGTTTGAAAATTTATTCGAAATTTAAATAAATAGAATTTTCAAAATTATCTGTTCCAATAAAAAATATTTTTCAGTATGAAAATTACTATATTTACCTCTGTAAAAAATATTCGTAATAATAAATGACAAATTTTTAATAATGCAAATATTCATTTTGATTTTTTTTTCAAATAAATTCTTCTTTACATTTTTAAAACGTCGTTATCAGAATTTAAATTAATATAACAAATTGACATTAAAGCGCTGTCATCGGTTTTTCAGTTTCCAATTACAATTAAACAACATTCAATTATTTTAGTTTGGCATACTTCACTTTATTAAAACAAACTACAGATTTGACGTAGGTTAATATTTTTCGGTACGCGTTTTAATTAAATTATACTTCATAATTAAAAATACAAAAAGGAGCATGCCGTTTTCTGTAGTAGAATTGGAAGACGGAGTTGTATTAGTTCCGACGAAATGGATAATCAGTCTCGAGAATGACGAACGGAAATGTTACTACCCGCCTTCTGAAAGAGCTTCCAAAATAAATGAGATGATATCAAAATCAGTTGAGCCAGAATTAAATTGGAAACAGTACGATGTTCTCCAATATTTAAAAAGAACTGGTAAATATTCATTTATAAGAGAATCTGTTTATAATAATATTAAATAACACAAACATGTTACACACGCGTCTTTTTTATCTAAATCCATCCATTTATGCAAGCAGTTAATAAATTTTTCTATTAATATTTCAATTTTTTCTACATAATTGTTTTGAGTTATGTAATAATATAATTTATTTTTCTTTCATAAAATCAGAGAGTGGTTTTTCAAATTTATTTTTATATTCATTTATATTTTTTATTTGTAGACACATACGAAAAAGGCAAAAACCTCAAATAATCGATGAACAAATTTAAAAGCCTCGTATTCTACTTCCACCTATGAAACGAATTCGAGCTGGGCCAACTGAGACTGAATTTGCAACACCGAGTTTACCAAAAAATTCGAAACAAAAAGGTTATTTTTTTATCAAATAAAAAATATAAACTTTTATTTTTAAGATAAGTATTTTTATTGAATAATTTAAGTAATACATTAATTAACTTTATAGAAATATTGAGTAATATTAATTTATTTTAAAAAATGTATAAAATAAATAAATTATTTTTAATTAATCAACTTTGTTTTGCTGTTATTTTTGCCAGATTTTAGTGACACAAGATCTCCGGGATCCACAAATGACCTTCTCCTAAACGAAATTCGAATTGCCAAATCAGCCATTGAGAATCCAATTTCTGAAGATTCAACACTGAGATCACCGAAAAACTCAATACAAAGCGGTTAGTGTTTTTATCAAACAAAAAATTAAATATTAATGAAATATTTATTAAATTCATTGTGTTAACTTTATTGATAAATTAAATTATTATTCTAATTAAATGTATTGAAATATTGACTAATAATAATTTATTTTTAATCAATGTATAAATTAAATTATTTTTAATTAATTTATTGTTACTGATATTTGTACCAGATTTTAGAAGCAAAACATTCACAAGCAACCTTCTTCCGAAAAAAATCCCTACTGATGCTTCTACCATTAAAGATTCAAATTCTGATGAATCATCAACAGATACAGACGAATTCGCAAAACCAGGATTATTGGAAAATTCGAAGCATAAGGGTTAGATTTTGTTAAGACAGATTTCAATTATACAAGATTCGCTGTTAATTTTTTTTTTCAAATTTGAAGATATTATTTTCAATCACAATGAAGATTTTAATTTAAGTCTTAACTATTTTACATGATTATATATTATAGTCTTAAAATGGATTGATTTTGACATGATACTTAAAATCTGACTAAGACGAAATCTAATAGACAATTTAGACCATTTTTTATTACTGATCTTGCTTGAGTTTATCTTTCAAAATATATTTTACATTAAAAGTTTTAATAGTTTAGAATTTAAAAAAATTATTATTAATTTATAGGATTTAAAACCAAAGATGTTTTTGCTCCAAGCACATCAACTGAAAAAATGCGAAGCTTAAATAATTTCAACACAGCATCGGCTTTACCTGATAATGATAACAATCCAAATGCATCCAAAAGTAAATTTTCATCAAACTTAGAGAATGCTTTGGCCAGTCTTGAATACCAAGATTCAAAAACAGGTAATGTAATATAAAAGTAGATTCTATAAATTTTTTGAGTTAATAAATTTTTTTATTTTTATACAGGTCTTTCAAGTGACGAATTAATATTATCAAAATTGAATGAAATAATCTTACTTCTTAGAAACATGAAAATTCAGTCTCAAAGTAGTTGCGGAACTTCAAATAATAGATCTTTCTTTGATTCCACAAAATGCCCGAAGTTGCCAATTAATTCCAGAAAGGACCTAATAGCAACAAATGACAAACTAAATGATAAGAATTTTAAAACTAAAATGGTCAGTATTGTATTTGTATTTATGCTAAAATGTATGTAAATGATTAACATTGTTTTTTTCTATTTTTTCAATTTATTAACTTATTTAATTTATTATTTTTTTTATTAAATATTTTTAAATGCTTTTAAAGTTAATTTAAAAAATACTGATAAACCTTGTCTCATTTTGGTTTTGTATTAAATTAAACCAATTGTAAACACATTAAAATGATTATGGCTGTTAGTTTTAGGAATTTTTTTGAATACTCTTAGTTTTAGAAAATATTTTACACAATATAATTTATTCCAGATAAACGCATTAGGATCTATTGGAGGAAGAGATGTCAATAATGTTGTGGCGAACGTGTGCAGCAAGCTGTTTACAAATAAACTCGCTCTCCTATACAGTTGGTCAGGAAGAAAGTCCAAACTGCCGTTGATTAATACCAACTTTGCAAATTTAATTATTGGTATGGCATAATAGATACATAATTATTTTCAAAATTTAAATCATTTTATAATTACAAGCTATCGAAATACGCAGTTAATTCAAAAATCAAAACATAAAAGTTTTTTTTATTTAAAGAAAGCTTCTTCAAATCAAATAAGTTTTTTCGAAAAATCAAGGAAATTTTAATATTTAAATATACAGAATCAAAGAAGCATTTAATTAACATTTTAGGGATTTAATTTTTTTCAGAAAGCGTGAAAGTATCCTGCCCAAAGGAAGATGATTATGCAATTCAAATTATCGTTTCTAAATGGTTCGCTCAAGCCAAAACAAGATTGAAGAGAGAGTTGTAAGAAAAGTCATGTTTGCTGTCATTCTTTATAATCTTTATGGATTTAAGTTTAACAAATATTTATTCTACACTCAAAATAAAATATATTTTTTAAATTCTCAAACTGACATCTCACTTAAAAGAAAAATATATATTATTAATAAATTATTTTTTATCAACTTTCACTAAAAATCAATTATCATTGGTAAAAACAATCAGCTTTTAATAATATTAGTTACAGTGCATAAATTTTTAGTAATAATTTTGTTTAGCGAGTGAATAATTTACTTTTCACCGATTCATTTTATAATAATTTTACTAAAATTATAATTATTTACTAATATTTTATTCTGTAGAGCAAAAGAAGGAGATGAAGAAGACGATAATGGAGAAGAGGAAGAATCATTAAGAGACTCTGATGCTGACGATGAAGAAAATTAATAATTGCAATACTAACACGTTTCTAATTTTTTTCTATCTACTACGATTATTATAATTATTGTATTTAATTACTTGAGGCTTGCTTAATAAAGAAATATGTTTTTATTCTAAATATTGTTTAGTATGATATTTTGCAGCAAAATAATAAATAGTTTTCAAATTTATATAAAATATAATTAAAAATACATAAATTTCTTCTTTATGCAAAAATTTTAATATAATTCAAGTAAATGAAATAATTCCTTTGACACTTCAAGATAATTAGTAGAAATAACCAAATCAAAATGAAATAGTTTATATATTAAAAATACATGATCCTTTGAAACCTTTGAAAAACATTTTTAGTAAAAATTTTATAATAATTTAAAATAAACAATATTTTAATAACATTTTAAAAAAACATTTCAGCAATATTTTACTGTAATATTCCTAAGACATTCATGTAATTTGTTATGTAAAGTTTTATTGAAATATTGCTGGAACGTTATTTTGGAATATTCAATGAGTCGGACATAACAATATTCCTGAAATATTATTGCAATGTTACATGCGAATATTTCAAATATTGCAAAAAAATGTGGCGGCAATATTGCTGCAATATTATGTGTTATGTGGGATCTCTAATTTAACCAACTTCCAGCTTTGTTTTTATCTAATATAAATAATTTACAATTTTTCCTTTTATCCAATTTAACCAATTTCGAGCTTTGTTTTTATTCAACATAACCAATTTTCAATTTTTCCTTTTATCCAATTTAACCAATTTCCAGCTTTCTTTTTATCCAATAGAACCAATTTTCAAGTTAACCAATTTCTAATTTTGCCTTTTATGCAATTTAACCAATTTCCATCTTTTTTATCCAATATAACCAATTTTAAATTTTACCTTTTATCCAATTTTTTTTTCAATTTCCCCTTTTATCCAATTTAACCAACTTCCAGCTTTGTTTTTATCCAATAGAACCAATTTCAAATTTTGCCTTTTATCCAATATATCCAATTTCCAACTTTTCCTTTTATCCAATTTAACCAACTTCCAGCTTTTTTTTTATTCAATAGAATTAATTTCCAATTTTGCCTTTTATCTAATATAACCAATTTCTAATTTTGCCTTTTATCCAATTACAGACGATTTCCAATTTATAACAAAATTTTTAATTTGTTAATAAACATAAAAAAAATTATAACAATTTTTTTAACTTTATTAATAATTAACATAAAAAACAAAACACAAATCAATTAATTATTTAATGATTAAAAAAATTTAGAAAACAGTATCTTAATGTAATTCTATTATTATTTACTATTCACTTATTATATTCACTAATACTTACTATTCACTAAATCACTATTTACTAATTCACGAAGTATTCACTAACAATTCTCTTATTTAACTTTATAATCACTCACATATAGGGAGTGAATTCACCAGTGAATTATAAAGATTTTTTAATTTAATTTTCGTTGAAGACACGTAGAACGTGTCCCAAGGAAAATAATCTACGATATGATTTTTAAATTAAAAAAATATATTCGTTCTTATATTTAGGTGGTAGGCCCTAAGCGGGAGTGTCCTTTTCGCACTCGTAGATTGATTCTGAGGCCAATATATGTGGCATTCCACGTCAAGTGATCCGGAGGTCAAATTTACCTGGAATGTTTGAAAAATTTGTAGTTTCTTTGAAACAAAACGAAAATATGTTTTCTATTTTGGGATTTTTTGCTGTTTTCCAACACTTTCTAAAGCTGAGTCCAGAATGAGAGAGGGTGCGCACCCATGTTCATATCTATAGATATACTAAAGCATGCTGTAGTATACCTATAGCTATGAACATCGGTGCACAGACTCTCTCATTCTGGACTCAGCTTAATAGTGTAAACAAATTTAAAAAAAAAAATTTTTTGACCTTGAAAAATTAATTTAAAAAATAAAATTTCATTTTTTTATCAAATGGACATTTTTTATTTAAAAAAAAAATTTTTTTCATAAAGGTGAGGTTTTTTCCTAAAAAAAATGTGTAGGTCAAAACGTGGGACAAGAACTTTTAACTGGTCAAAATAAGCATTTACTTCTGCATTTATTTTCTTATTCCGTTGCTGCACATGATCTAAATCAATTTAAATTTATCCAATATGACCACCAGATAATTCATAAAGCATAAAATAATTTATTTCAGTTGTTATAAACAATATACAGCCTAACAACGCGCAGCGGAGGTGTACTGCAGAAGTAAATGTTTATTTTGACCAGTTAAAAGTTCTTGTCCCACGTTTTGACCTACATATTTTTTTTAGAAAAAAACCTCACCTTTATGAAAAAAAAAATTTTTTTTAAATAAAAAATGTCCATTTCATAAAAAAATGAAATTTTATTTTTTAATTTAATTTTTCAAGGTCAAAAAATTTATTTTTTTTTAAATTTGTTTACACCATTAGAAAGTGTTGGAAAACAGCAAAAAATCCCAAAATAGAAAACATCTTTTCGTTTTCTTTTAAAGAAACTACGAATTTTTCAAATATTCCATGTAAGATCAAAAATTTAAACTTTGACCCCCTCCAGTTTTTACATTTGTTTAAATAAATTAATAATATTTTGTATTTTTAATTGTATCTAATAGGACTACTGTTTATACAAACTTTTAACCTGATCCCAAACATTCCAAATTATGCCCGGATCACTTGAGGTGGAATGCCACATATATTATATATATATTACAAAAATATATCGCTGTCGCCGCTGTTTTAAGATTCCATCCCCCCTCCTCAAAGGTCAAAGGGCAAACATAACCTCAAAACCCCCTTCCCACTCAAGGTCAAAGGGCAAACATAACCTCAAAACCCCGTTCCCACTCATAGGTCAAAGGGCAAACATAACCTTAAAACCCCCTTCCCACTCAAGGTCAAAGGGCAAACATAACCTCAAAACCCCCTTCCCACTCAAGGTCAAAGGGCAAACATAACCTCAAAACCCCGTTCCCACTCACAGGTCAAACATAACCTCAAAACCCCCTTCCCACTCATGGTCAAAGTGCAAACATAACCTCAAAACCCCGTTCCCACTCACAGGTCAAACATAACCTCAAAACCCCGTTCCCACTCACAGGTCAAACATAACCTCAAAACCCCCTTCCCACTCACAGGTCAAACATAACCTCAAAACTCCCTTCCTACTCATAGGTCACATGGCAAATATGACCACAAACCCGTCTCCCCACTCATAGGTAACATGACAAATGTAACCTCGAAACCCCCTCAAAACATTACCTTAAACCCTCATTTATATTATTACATTACACCCCTTCTTCCCACTTACAGGTCACAGGACAATCATAACCTCAAAATAACCTCAAAATCTCCTAACCTTCAAAACAACCTTTTTTACTTTTATATTAATTATTAATAAATTATAACTATTATAATTAACAATAATAATAAAATTCATAATTTCAACATAGAATTTTATGTTATTTATGTTATTTATTTATGAATTTTATGTTTTTATTTTTTTTTTAAACCAATAATTATAATTTTTAAATATTATAAAATACTATTGACGTAAATTATTAAAGAAAGATTTTAAATTTCTCTAAAGGCAATATAAATAAGAATGTCTCTCTTTACCTAATTTGCATATCTACTCGTTTCATATTAAGGATTACTTTTTTATTTTTCTATTTATCTGATTTATTTTAACTACTTTTTGATGATTAAAACAGGTTTTTTAATTTAATGTAGGACTTGCTGAACAAATCAGAGTAGTTAAAAAGTAGTCAAATAATCTACTAGGAACTGTTTTTTGATTTACATTAATTTGTTTATTTTACGCAGACAAATTATTTGTTTATCTATTAATAACTTATTATTTATTTATTCATAAAATATTACTAATTGATTTAAAAAAGAAAGAATTCAATTCGATTGAAATTTACGAGTATTATTTTTTATTTAATTATTTATTATTTAAATATTATTCATTTATTATTTATTTATTAATAAAATGTTACTAATTGATTTAAAAAAGAAAGAATTCAATTCGTTTAAAATTTACGCGAGTATAAGGTAATTTTGACCGTTCCCTTGTACCTGTGTACAAGCCTTTGCTTCAGTGCGCTTCTTGGCCCTGCGCGCAAAGACAAAAAATACAATATCTCCGAAAGTTTAAGATTCTCCATCGATTTCTTTATGTCAAAATACTCGTGAAATCCTAAGGAATCAAAATATTGCTATTAGAAAAAAATTAAAGATACGCTTATAAACAAAAAATTTGTTTAAACAATATTTTTTAAATTTTTTATTTAAAACAAAAAAAAATTTTTTTGCAATTTTTTTCATTTTAATTGTTTGTAAATAATAAGTAATCCCTGAAAAAAATCATTAAAATCCATCCATATGTCTCTGAGATATTGCGTTTCCAAAATTTGAAAAAAAAAATTTGAAAACCCTGAACAACCACAAATTTTTAAAATTTTCGAAAATCTTTTTTGGAATTTTTATTTGCATATATTCCCTTACAATTTCTCAAAGTTTCACAAAAATCGGAGAACTGAGGGACAATTTTGATTTGTTAGGTATGATTTGACCCTTTTAATGAAAAATGCAAAAAAAAATAGTTAAACTTCATGAATCGGGCTGAAAATACTCTCATTATATGTCCCCAGGGGAGACCTACAATTTAAAAAAAAAATTAAGGCCTTTAGCTCTTTCTCGTTCTGAGATATTGAGGCAAATGTAATGTTAGTATACACACACACACACACATCGGGACAAATTTTTAAAATCCGTTTTTTTGGACTTCGGAGGTCGAAATACGTCGAAATTTTTTTTATTTATTTAGAACATTTATACGGGGAGTTCTTGTGCATATATAAAGTACTAAAGTATTAGGCATAATAAAAAAACATTTATAAATATGTCAAAAAATTACAATCCAAAATTTTGCTAATACAAAGCTTCCTTTATGAGGAAGCAATATTGGATTAAATATCTATTTGTATAATAAATGTATTTTTTCATTTAAATATTTATTATTTTTACATAC